ACTAACTCCCCGCCGCCGTAGCTGCACGCGAACGGAGCGGCAAGTCCCGCCCCGGCGGGCAGCTTCGGAATCTGGTTGGCTCGCTCGGTTTGAGTGGCAGAGCCCGCTCTCGGCCGCCGTCCGCCATGTTGTGAGGGAGCCGGGCGCCGGCCCCTCGCTGCCCGTGTCGCCGCTGTCCCCTCGGCCGCGGGGCTGTGGGCCGGTACCGCCCCGGCGGGAGGGACGCGGCTGGGGCGGATCCTGGGCAGAGCCGGCACCTTTTCCTGCCGCCGCCTCAGGGCCCCTCTCTGGAGAAGGAGGCCGGCGCAGGCCTTGTCTGGAGCAGGGACCAGCTCTCCTCCGGGATCCCTCTGAGCTCTCCTCCGCTGCCTGGAAGCTCTCAGTGCCCTGCACACTCGCAGCAATGTGTTGTAACCCCTCGTGAGCCCGCACGCCTGATGGCTGACCGGCCTGACCCGTAATTCGCCAGCAGCTCCCCGAACAGCTATGGGACTGCAAATCAAGAAAAGAGACTCTTAATATATCAAAAGAGGAAAGCTCAGCACCCACAGGATCTGCTAGAGGGGACATGCTCGCTATTAGCTTAGCCCCGGTAATTCCCTGTGTGCGTGTGGGACACCTGTCAGTCAGGTGGGCACATCAGTGCTGTTCTGACCTCATGGGACAGGCCCAGAGCTCTGCAGGGAGGGCGAGGTTGCAGTGCTGCAGAAGGCACAGGAAAGATGGATTTTTTTCATTAGTTGACGAGGATGAACAAACCTGATGGGAGCAGAGGGCTTGTGGGACCTGAGGTTGCCTAACCCCCATGGAACCAGGCCAGGTTGCAGTATAATAATTAATGGAGCAGAGGGTCAGCATAGTTCACAGCTACCAGGGTTTGTTGTGCTAAGAGAACCTAAGATAAAAGTACAGAGATAGAAATCCAAGATTTTTAATCAGGGGCAAGAAAAATCCCTGCAGAAGCCTCATCTGCCAGGATTTCACAGGAATGGCCTTGCAGAAGGAGGCTGAGGTGCACGTGGCCAGGCCTGCTCCTCCTCAGAGCAGCCAGCACGGGATGTAGTAGCTGGGTGCGGCGCCTTATTTTGTGTCACAATTACAGCAATTAATCAAACTTCCCCGGTTCTACAAGCACGCCCTGTAGAAAGATCACCAGGTCCACAGCACACAATGTTTGCTTTTTAGCCTTCCTTTGCGTTTATAGTTTGGGGTTTGAGAGCCTGTCTGTAACCATCACTGAAATACTGCTTTTTATACAAAGAGAACATTTAATTGAGAGGCGCTTACTTGCAGGTTCATGACTCAGCAGGGATTGGAAGAGTTAGTGTTCTCACCCTATTTTCCTGATCCTCTCACAAGCTCCCTCCCTTTAGCCATGTACTGCAAACCTGCAACAGTCTTTTTGTGTTGCATTAACACAGCCAAGGAAAGTCCACAGTACTAGTGCTAAGCGTGTCTCCAATGGTAAAAGCCACTTACAGTCCGTTGAATATACTAAAGGTTAAAGAAACTAATAAAAATGGAGCTGGGTTGGTTCAGGTACCTTAATTCTCAAATTATTCTGAAGGTGAATATATCAGGTTCCTTGGTATTTGCAAAAGCAAACAGCGCTTTCCATTTTCATAGCAATTAGCAGTGTGTGCCCAATGGGCTAGAAAGAAGGAAAAACAAGAGTCATGCAAGCAGCAGGTGTCAGTCATTGCAGTGGAATTTGCCCAAGTTGTTTGTTTTTTTTTTTGCCACGCACACACCCATGGTGTATCGGTTTTAATTTGCTCTGCCTTTCCAGATTACATTTTGATGTTTTAAAAACCTGAAGAGAAGTGTATTTGCTTTCCTTAGGTGGCTCAACCCGCCCATACCATTCTTACTAATTCTTGATTTTTCTTTCATATGTTTTTGAACTCAATAAAGTTGAGCAATGCGTTGTCCCTTCACCTGTTACGCAATTGGAAGCCTTGGCTATGCCAGAAAGTATTGCTGCAGCACATTTAAAAATAAAGAGTGCAAACAGCCTGCAGTGGCCGGTGAGCTGGTACCTGATGTCTCCAGGCTGGTGAACGTGGAGTTACATTAATGTTTTATTTTGCAACACAGTCCCCAGGAGGTGGTGCCCAGGAACAGTTCCCTTGCTGTGGAAGTGTACCCAGATGGGCACAGCAGAGGACTTCAACCTGTTAACGAAGCAGTGTAATAAGTTCATGCTTTGTTGCCAGGACACAGTACACTGCTGGAAAACAACGGCAATCGATAATTGCCCGTTGAGTCACGAATCAGAGTGCATTAACGAGCCTAATTCTCTTGTGCCCTTTGGCCTGCAACTGTACAGTTGATGGAAGCTCTTTCCTTAAATCAGTTGTACACAGATAGCTCCTGGCACGCAAATGGATACTAAAATATGTGTGTTTGGTGTCATACGTTCACATGTGACAACCTACAAGCACATCCACCATATGTAACAGTGGTGTCCGCATAGGTTTGGCATCAATGCTGTGTTGGCTCCAGCCCCTGATGACCATTCTTCTTTGGCATCAGTGCCGTGGTGCCTCCAGCCTTGGATGGCCATTCTTCCTCACCTTCCCTGCACGCTGAGCAGCGCAGGGCTGCGAGGAGGTGCAGCCAGAGCACGAGCCCCACGTTCCCCAGCTCGCCCCAGCAAGGGAACGCACTTGGGACTGGGATGTAGCAGCGTATCACATCTTCCGAACCGGCGGTGTCTGTCCTGTGTCCACGCCTTTGCACATTTCTGTCATCTGGCAAGGCTGTTTCGTTCTTCCAGGCTTCCAACGGCAGTTACAGACTCCAAAGCTGAGCGATCAACTGCTGTGGCAGAGGGTGGCTGAGCTGAAAAGACAGCAGCACCAGCTTCCGAGTGAGCCTCGTGGGAAGGGAGTTTTAGGATATCCTAAAATCTTGCTTCTAGTGGGTAATTAGACCACCTCAGTGCCTAAAATCCCCTGGGGATTTTGCAGGTTTGTCAGCAAACGTTTCACAAAAGATAATGCAAGAACGGGTTCTTAGCAAAGAACCGCAAATTGCAATGTGCAATTACCTTAACAGAATAGAAAGGATTTGTTTGGAAAAATAACAAGCTGTGATGACAAAAAAATCTAATATCCTTAAACAATGATAGATGTCAGTATGTAAGACAACAGTATGATAGGAAGTTAGGCAGTAAAATATTTAGACATGAGCTGATAGCTGAAAGTTTCTGCTGTCATATCAACTACACCAGACTAAGAGAACAGAGACTACTATTAGATCAATTTACTCATTGCATTCAACTAGTTTTTTATTTTAGAAAGTTGATTTTTTAAAATCAAGTCATTTAGGAGATTGACTTCAATTCTTCATACTGAATCTGTTAAATTAACCAAGAATCTAGAATTATCTGTCATCTTAATGATAAAAGTGTGTTATCGGCTCTCATAGGACTTCTGATTGCAAGTACACTTCCAGGACAGGTTGAATACTGGGTTTGCATTGATAGAAAAGAGTGTGGCACCAAAAGACTTAGCAGTGACACCTATCTTATTTTCTTTCCCCTCTTTGCCTGTTGAGAAAAAAAGGGCAAGGGGGGGGAAGTGATAGAGCGACTTGGTGGGTACCTGGCAGTGACATTTACTCAGGCTGGAAGAAACGGTGATTTACTCTTGTCAAATTATGGCTTGATGAGGAATTAGTTATATATCTAAATTAACAGCTCAGAGGAACAGTGAAGGTTATTTGAAATTGTTCCCGGAGGGTGATTTCTTTAAACGCTTACTCACCGGTTTTGAAAGAGAAAAGAGGAATTTAGTAGCATAAGTTGCGTCCTGTAGTTTTTACCCTGAATAACTTGGTGTGAAACCAGAAGTGTAATTATGAATACAGCCTTTTATATAAGTGCTGCTCTGTTTCCTGGGAACTGATTCTTTACCTTCCACTCCCTCAATCTCTCACTCTCTTGGTTTCAGTGGCATTTCTCCTGACGTTACTCATTTCTTGCTAACTCCAGTGAAGCTACAGCTGATGACTGTCTTAAAGTCTTTATCAAGAAAAGATTAAAACATTGTTCCGCTGTGAAAATCTTTTTTTTTTTTTTTTTTCCCAAGGGTGCCGTCATCTAGAGTGTAAAAATATGCTGCTGAACGATAATATTTTTGTTCTTTAAACCTCACACTCAAGATACAGTATTTGTTGCCTTTTGCTTTCTTGGTAAAGCTGCGTTTCTGTAAAAGTGTTTTATAGATTTTTCAGAAGACTCTAGTGCAGGCTCTGCAGCATTTGGATGCTAATTAAAGCCCGTGTGTCTCTCTCATTTTTGAGTTTATGGACTTGGGGCTTCAAGTTTCCCATCAGAATACACACTAGTTGCTCAGCCTTCCATCAAGGAAGTATAAGGTATTTGGAAAATAAGAATGCTCACTGTGTATTAAAATCGGAAGCTTTTCCTGCGGACTGGTGTTCACCAGCTCACCTGTACGTTTGCTGCGTTTATGAATTGAACGTTGTGCTTAAAGTCAGTTTAGTTCAAACCTGTTTTCCAGCACATTTAAGGCTC